TTCTGTTTTCAATCCCATGCCCCAGACCAAAAAGTCCCAGACAGCCCTGAACCCTGATGCAAACTCTTGTCTGTTGCAAACTCCGGTCTGTCTCTGTCTTTCTCCTCTCAGCCTCCACCTCCCTCCTGACAAATTCTTGTTATATAGCCCTGACTGGCCTGGAACTCACTATCCTCCTGTCCGCTCCACAAATGTAGCTGAAATTACAGACTTGTGTCACTACACCCACTTAAGCCTGTCCTTTAGACTTACATACTCAACGCATTGTATGTATGAAAAAGGTATTTTATATAACTCCATAATATTTTCAAATGATTCTCTGTAACTTCAAAACATTTTTGATCCAAAGGAATAAACACACTCAGTCTGTATGCAATCATACTCCATTTACTAAGCTGAGCATATTTAGATTTCAAATGATCAAATGATCCGAACTTGGATTCAGAGCTGGCTGTAGCTGCTGTACTGCAGCCTCTAAATTCTAAGAACAGCCTTGGTGGGATGTGTTTTATTGCATCTTCCTTGGAAAACAGTTTGAACTTCCTATGCCCTTTGGCCAAGTGTCCACATAACTGGAAGTATAACATCTAAAAACATCCTATTTATTCCAAGGCTAAAATCTTTCTGCTGCTATGAAACACAGCCAGTGATAACCAAAACTAACTTCAGTTCATGATTTTCATTTCTACGAGACTTCAGCAACTGGGTTAAAAACACTCAAGAACAAAAGGGATCCCATGTTAAAAACAAACAGCAAAACAAAGGTAAGGCTATTCAGAGATAAGCAAAGCAAGGAAGTATCTTCCCTGATTAGTTTTTCCTCTACATACTTCAGTCCCACAAGGGAAGAAGTTTTTATTCAAGGGACAAATAAATGGGGAAAAAAAAATGAGAAAAATCATGTTGGCCAGCAGAGAAATTGTTGCCTCCTGTTACATGGAATTTTAATCCACATCTAACTTTGCATAAATTATAGTAATAATGGCAAGCACCTAGCAAGCATACTTGTTAATTAACCAGTAGAAACTACAGGTGGATTCCAGCTGAGTACAAGATCTCTGAAAAACACCCTGCTCGCAGAAGCATCCAGCTCAAGGTCAAGCATCAGGGCACTCCTCCTACCCTGGTATAACCCCAGATCTTGCTCCTTGTTTGGTTAGGGATAAAGGACATCTGCAAAGAAGGTTAGATCCATAGATAAACTGTTTCCAGTCCTCCGAGCAATCTAGATAAGACCTCAAGTGGTCTATTTTGAATTCCTTTGCATCTTTATTGCAGCCACTCCCAGATCCCTCCTAGAGGCAATATCAACAGACTGAGGAGAATCAAAGCAATTCAAAAAGTGAAATGACAACAATGTTGGTTGCCGAGTGGAAAGGTCCACTACTGTAAAGCCCTTTCCCTCTGGAAGGTCCCTGAGGAGTCATTTCAAAAATTAGTTTTAGTATCACAGTTAGGTTGTAGTATCACAGTTAGGTTGTAGTATCACAGTTAGGTTGAAAGCCTCAGATTGTTACTCCGTGAAAGCAGCATAGACTGTTGTGTTGGTGCCATCTTTAAATGTGAACGCCTAAGTTGATATGGTAACAGAACAAACTAGCTAAATACCTATTAATTCTTTAACTCAAGAATACATTGTATCTGGAAGATTACCAAAACTAGGATTGATCCCAGTAAAGTCTAGTGGCTTGTTCCATATCAGAAAGAAATTAGATTGAGAGCTGGTTAAAGCCATGCTCTCATTAAAACATAAATCCAAACTTTAGACCTAAGAAGTGGAACCCTAAGCATATGACTACAGCTTACCCCAAACAACTACTAGCAAAAAATCATGTCTATATTGTCTACATCGAAAGCTTCTATCAAAGATTTCAGAAGGCAAAATTCATATAATTATACACCGCTTTATTTAAAAAAAAAAACAAAACCCTGAGGCATAAATAGAAATAAAGTAAGCCCACAGATGAGAGATCTCACCTGTATGACAGTCTCGTTTAACAGCTAGGACTGGGAAAATAAGTTACTTAGTAAGTCCTGGGAACTTGGGGGTGACTATTGTTTCAACAGGTATTTCCATAGATTTGGCATTTTTCAGGACTAAAAAATGGCAAAATTTGTCCTTGCATGAGTTTCCTTTCTAGAACTTTCCACAGCACATTTGCAAATGCGCTTCGTGAAGTTTTGCCTAACGCTATCACAGTTCCTGACTATCTTCCAAAATTAATACCAGGTATAATTTATAATGTAACCCGAGAATCAATTTGGGGACATTTACAGTAGCTGTATTAAACATCTCGTGTGCATGTCCCCACACATACACAAACATTATGTTGCTCTTTTGAATTACAACTTAGTAAACTTTGGAGGCACAATATGGTAACTTTACACACTTCACTGTCGGAAAAATAGCGATATTACATTAAATAAAGAATGGGGGGGGCTGGGGATTTAGCTCAGCGGCAAAAGCGCCTGCTTGGCAAGCGCAAGGTCGTGAGTTCGGTTCCCGGTACCGGAGAAAAACCAAAAAAAAAAAAAAAAAATGTTCAAGAATGGGGGAGCGGATTCTTGTGTTTGCCTTGTTCTTAAATTACAGGTTAAAGGCTTTCCCAACCATCTTAGTTAAGATGGGGGGAGGAGTGGGGAAGGTGTAGATAAACTAAAATTCTTTCTAGTTTATGGAAGATAAATATAAATTTCTAGATTCTTCCCTATTGACTCAATAAAAACATAAGGCGATCTAACCAGCCGGAAGTTTCTGATTTAAATTCCATTTTCTGCTTGGCTCTTAACGAGGTCTTTGCAAACTTCTGGGATGCCAGGAAAACAATGAGCATAAACGTCTCCCAAGAAGCCGCCACCGGGTGCAGGGGCTTGCAGAGGCAAAGAGGAGGCGCTTCTTTCACCTGCTTTGCTCCAGGGACTCGCTGGCCGGACCCCAGCAGCGCGTTCCCGACTAGCCTTGCACAACCTGGCTTTGACCCCAGCTTTCTCCCCTCGGTACAAGCTGGGGTTCTTCCGCCCCGAAGCTCCTCATTTCGCGTTCAAAACGAAATGTGTCCGAGGAGCTGGTAGGGAGAGCTACCTCCTGTGGCGTCTATATTACAAATGCCTTTTTTACTCATTTAAAACCCACCAGCCTAATGCACATTTTGAAAGGCAAACCAGCCAGCCCGCGTCCAGTCCCGAAGAAGGCAGCCCCAGCCCGGCGCCGGCCGGGCGCCCCCTGGTGGCTGGACCTGCCCTAAGCGCAGCCGCGCCTGCGCTCGCCCGAGACTCAGTGGGCTCGGCGTCGCGCGGCCGGAGAGGCCCAGCTGTCCCGCGCCGGCAGCCCCGGAGACTCGTCCACCCTGACCCGAGGGGAGGAGACGTAGGCCAACGCACGGAAACAACACATGCCACTTCCCCTGCCACCTCCTGTTCCAAACCCCGGGAGAAGGAGGAGAGTCCCGGAGAAACATGGAGAGAGAAGGGCGAGAGCGCAGCGAGGCAGGGAGCGCCAGGGACAGAAACCGGAGGGCGGGAGGAGGCGGCTGGTGCCCGGGTTGCTGCTAACAGATGTGGGCTAGAGCTGGAGCCTCCAAGCACCACGTTTTCCCAGCACAGGGTTTTAAGAACTCCAGCCCGGCAAGGGGCACGACTGCAGGTGCTGTTCGGGAATTTTGACCTCCTAAGCAGGTAGTTCCCTATCAAGCAAAAGCACGGTGTAAATCATTAAACAGAAGGCAGTGCTGGGGGGTGCATTCACGTTCCCACTCGTGACCCCGCGCGCAGGCACTTTCCTCTGTGCGTGGAGGCAGCTCACGCGGGGCGTGGGGTTTTCGCCACGTTTTAAGTGGGCGAAGTCAGTCTGCCTTCAAGATGGACAGCAGGAGCTTCCTGGGAAATCTTCGAGGAGAGTGGGGGACCGAAGACCACGCTCCCGAGGAAGCCAAGGAGGAACTGTGAACGCCTCCCCTCCCACCCCAGCGTCCGGCTTCGGGAGTCCGTGTTGTGGTCCCGTGCAATTGTGTGTGTGTGTGTGTGTGTGTGTGTTTTACTGCATTAGTGCAAAACGCTTACACTGTAGAATTTCCTCCTTCTACCATGTGGAACAAAACGGTAAAAAAAAAAAATCTTGCCCAAGCTTCCGTCTGTAGATACCCCCCCTCTTAAAATAATAAAAATAAAATTCTGGTAAACCGAGAACTACGAGTCGACACAATCAAAAGCAAATCCCAGCTAGAGCAGCCGGGACTTGAAACCCGAATCTGCATTCCGTTCCTCCCGTGCAAGGCTCGGCGGTGGGGGAGGTGGCTGGAGCTGGTGCCTGGTGTATAATCGGGTTAATCCGGTAGACAAAGAATAAACCAATAGCCCTCCCACCTCACTTCCCGCTCCCCTTTCTGTCCCTCCCGTCGCCCCCTCCGCCGGGGGGAGCAGGCGAGGGGAGCGCTGGACTAGAAATGGACTCCGGAGAGTCTCAAACCTGTAAGCTTGCTTCTAAAGCTCACGCTGCACGGCCCGGAGTCGCTTTAAACGGGCACCCCCCTTTGCTAGTGGCGAGGAGAAAGTTACCCTAAGTCAGCTCGAGCCTGCAGCCCGTCCTCATGGCCCCTGGGGAAACCTTAAGGTCAGTGTTTCCTTGAAACTAGATAAACTGACCCCGCGTCCCCGGCCCGGCCCCGCAGGCGCCCCGCGGGACGGCGCCCGGGCTGCAGGGCTGCAGGGCTGCAGGGCCGGCCGGGGCCGCGCGGGGCGGCGCGGTTGCCCTTTTGAATGCCTCCTGCGGCTCGGAGCGCTGGCGGGCGCTGGAGTGTGAGTGAATGTAGCCCCGCGGAGCCAATGAGCTGGGACCGGATGCGATATATCCTCTGGGACAACAACTGCTCTGTTCCGCCTCGGATCCACATGACGCCATTTACTGCTGCCGCGGCCGCCGCAGAGCTCCCTGCCTCCTCCGGAAAGGCGAGGGCGCAGGCCAACAGCGAGCCCCCCCGGCGGGGCCCCAGACCCTCCTCCTCCTCTTCCTCCTCCTCCTCCTCCCCCTCCTCCGCCTCCTCCTCCGCACCCACCGCCCCCGCCTCGGCCTCGCCGCCGCGCCTCCACAACGCCC